AAAATAATGTTTCGAGCGTGACCGCCGAGCCCCCGGGGGATTAAGGGGGCGACTAGCTCTCGCGCCGACGATTGGTTACTATCCAGCTGGAGATTTTATTTGAGGGCTCGCTCTCGTGTACATATTACAGGCGGCTCTGCCTCGGTGTCCCTCTCCTCCCCCCCCTCCCCTCTCTCTCTCTCTCTCTGTTCGTTCGTGAAAAAAGCGAACACGACGAAAAAAAATCGCTCTGCACACGCCGTGTTGTCGAGCTGCCGTTTGGCACGGCGCGGCCTCGCCAATTATAAATCGCCGACACGACCGGATTTGTAAAGCGCGCCCGGACGGATAAAAAAGCGCTGATTGAAATCGAATACGCGTACGGCACGGTGGTAGGTAATTAAATAGGCGGGTAATAAACGAGGTATTGAGCGAATGAGAGACATGTGTCCTTTGCTCGTAACATTTTAATTCATTCGGTTAAATTTTATTTTAGTTTTAGTTTAAATATTTCATTTAATTTTGATTTTGTCCAATCTGTGTGATATTTTGAGATATATTATTCTTATCGACACCTTTTTAGGTGTTAGTTCATTCAAACATGTCAGAAATTTTAGGACTTCTCAAAAAATAGCTCTCTATCGGTTATATTAAAATTCTAAAATCACATCACACGATTGTAAATGCTTTCCGTACAAGTTCGCGACGCAGCCGGGAAATACGCAGCGGAGTAACGCGGCATTAATTTTCATTAGTGAATATTCAATTTGCGCGCGGGAGTAAAAGCGGCCAATCGGCGAGCGCGGCCGCAATAAACGTAATTATATTTAACGGGGGAACGTAATGGCCTCGATAGATTAGGTCTTTCCTTTCTTATGCCTCCACTTCCTCTTTTCCGCCTTGTTTCTAGCCGAGATTCATTTGTACGGCGCGAGCCTTCCTGATCGCCGGACGCGCGGTCCAGGTCGTGTAATTAGAATATCAATTAATAATCCGGATTAATTAAATCCGCGATTACCGATGCACGCCGTGACACGGCGCGAGCTTTATCCGTGTGTGCGCGCGTACGTACACGCGCTACCGTAGATGGAAGGCAGGCAGATTAGCTCGCGCGAATGCATATGGCTCATGTCACTTTTTTGTCCTTGATGAGTCCAGTGACACATTCGTCCGCGCGCAGTTTATTGCATCGTTCTCGTCGTCGTCGCATTAATTATCTCGCGCGAACAACGCGTCCGATTTGATCCGAAGTAATTTCCTTTTCGGGCGAACGTCTCGCGCTTGTCGCGTACACCTCGGGTGTGATTTGCATACATATAGACAACTATTTGTATCTTTCTATAACAGTTCCTATCGGCGACTTTGAAAGTGTATAAACGCTTGACGTGTATAAAGCGCGAAAGATATCGTGACCGCGATGAAAACGTGTCTGGTGATTCACGATCGGCTACGGACATTGATATGCATAATGCAATCGCGGTACACATCGCAATCTGTACTTTGCTGCGTTAAAATTAGATAATTCTGTTTCAACGAATGTAAAGTTGGAACCTACTTTTTTTTTCACCACGGATCGATTACATATTATTGGTTAACGCATTTCTCGGGTGATGTTTCACCCATTTACGACTTTTATTCAAGTACGAAAGCTATATATGGAATAAATTCAAAACTTTACCGTATAAATGATACGTTTGCAAAGTTAGACTTCCTACAAAAGTATAATAAATAAACGGCCAAACGTCAAGTACAATTATAATAAGAATGGTGCATGTAAATAGAAAAAGTGTGAGCAATTTGCATATTAAAAATTATTTTAAAAATTTTGGAAGGTTGCAGTAGAATAAAGATCTCTGAATAAAACACGAACGTCATCAAACGTGACAGTTAATACCGATGCATCGTCAGTCGGTGATTAAAACCGCCAGTTGATGAAAAATTTTCGCGCACGAAGGGGACCGTTCGAACGCGAATGCAGACGAGCAGAAAAGCGTCTGTCGATCTCGCGTGATAACAAGAATGCGGTCTCGCGCGGATATATATATACCGCGGCCGCGCTTACCCGCGTTAACTCGGCTCCTCGCTTACCTGGTCGGCTAACGCGGGATAAAGGCCGGGCATCCGCGCCGGTTACCTTTCAAACGCGTAATTGAAGCTGCTCCCGGAATACCGCGCTTAAGTGACAGGCGAACACCTTATACGCGAAGCGCGGACTCGTGACAGTCGTACGCGCGCGCACGGCGCGCCCGTCCGACGGTCCGCGTCGCTTTAGCGAGACGGGACGCAAAAAGTCGCGATACCGGGAATAAAATGTAATCTAGGCAGTGCGCAATAAGATGATGACCAGAGGATATAGCCAATCAGCGGGCAAATGTGATACAAAAATAAAATACACAAGACGCTCACAGAAATGCTTCAATATTACGATTTTTGTTGGAAATAAAATACGCGATGTCGCCCGGTGGAAGAAAAAATATTTTCGCGATAGCGTTGGTCGTCGCGTCGTTCCGTGAATATTTATTCGAACAGTCTCGTTTATTAACGGTGAATCGAGCTTATTGCGCGCAACGAGACGGACGTTTCAAGATAGTGCGTGCGCGGGGTACGAGAAATCCAGCTGACGCCGGCGTCAGGCCATTTTCCCGTCGATCTCTCTCCTCTCATCCCTCCCGCGCCACTCCCCTCGATAACAGCGAATTCCCAATCGCGCGTTACCGTCGTGCATTAAACTCCGTGGGGTAATATATCAGGGAATAAATCGTCGAACGTGTTGGAAGCTTTTATAGGATTTTTACAACGTGCGCGTCCGTGAAATACTGGCGCGGATGGAGGGTGCGGAGGACGAGAGGGACGGAGATTACGAGGGGTGAGGAACGGTTAAACTGAGTGTAAATCCAGGTGCCGTGTGAAGGATAGAGAGAGGGCGAAAGAGGCTTTTGCGCGACGGGGATGAAGCGTCTGGCTCATCCTGGGAGATGCAGCGCGCGGAAGGGGATGCCCCGGGTTTTCGCGTGCGTGCGGATCCGCCATCGGGCTCAGGACCGCCCGCGATCGCCATGGCAACCCGGGGTCGACGGGAGGCGATTACAGCACGGCGGTGAGAGGAGAGAGGAGAGTAACTCGATTAAGCGCGCGCGACGCCGCTCCCAAGGCGACGTCCGGAACGCGCGGGCGCGTAACAGGATGGCTTTCGGGGGTAGGCCCGAAAGTACGGTCTGCCCGAAAGGGGTCGCTCTCTCTATTTGCCCTCTTAATCACCCGTTAAGTGCCGCGACCCCGATGCGGCTCCCCCGGGCACGCAGCGATGAGTTTGCTCCCTGCTTCTTCGCCTCACGATTGGCCGGCGGTGAATAACAAACTCGAGACGGTTTTACGAGGGGTGAGATATATTTAATTCTGGCTTAAAGGCGAAATGTTCCGGTTTGGGGTGCTCTTTAGATCGTTTAGATTGAAAATGACACGGGTCCGATTGAAGGGTTTCATGTAGCACCGGTTTGGCACATTTTTTAAAGAACTCCAGACACAAATCTAATTGAAATTAAATCAACTCTACCGAACTCTTTCAGTCCCGATGCCTTACTCATACTCATATAAATTTTTAACCAATGTTGAACCATATGATTGTTTATTCACGTCATATTTATTCATTGATTTTTATGATAAATAAATCTCACGATTGTTTAGCGTAATGTACATCAACAATAATTTTCCAACAACGCAATATAAATTTGGGACTCAAAAAGTTAATCAGAATATTGTTAAAATAATACGCTGTTTAAAATTGAAAATTTACAAACGATTTAAATTGAACGATTTCTATGTAAAAGAAACGCATTCATTAATATGTATTTTGAAAACGTTACGAGAAATAATAAAAGAATATTGTTCACTAAGAATAAAGCAAATTTTCAATAATATGATAAATTCATATATTATGTATTTCATTCTTCGCAATTTTTATTATTATAGGCTTGAAACGTAAAGTCTTTTGCCTCGATTCGCCGCCGGAAGTTTATCGGCAGCTAATCCGGGTCTTGTCAAAACCGCGCAGCCACCCGAGCTGTTAGACAAACATCCCCGTCGTGACCCCGACTCACCCCTTTTACCGCGCGTGTGTGTCCTCGTGTCACAATGCTGATTTTCCGCGTAGATAGCTTCAAAATGGAGCTCATTCAACTCTTTTCTCACGGGCGGCGCGTATAATCTAACAGTCAATTCGAGGACAATGCCCGGATCAGGGATCCGTCGTTCTTCCCCACCCTTTGCGTTTTCATCCCCCTTTTCTTCTGCGTCAACGACACGTACCATTGTAACCGGATAGTCGCGTTTAGGGGTGGTTCCTTGATACATCAGGGGTTGACCGGGCCAGAGCTTATAACTAGTTGCCACTTAATTTGGCAAGCCCGGCGAGAACGAGGGGCTTCGATTCGCCCTCCCCTGTCGACGGGGGATTGGCCCGCCGAGATCGATTGGCGGATACGTCGGTATTCGCTGGGGACGGCCACGCTCGAATTACCTCTCGTTGAACGTCGCGTATCTTCTGCCTCCATCGGGTTCTTCGAAGAATTATCTTCCAAGACGCGTTCCCTCCGTCAAAATGATCGGAAATTCTTAGCTGCTCTCTCTCTCTCTCTCTCTCTCGTATGTTTCAGCTCATCGCAAATCAAACGTCTCGAAATATTCGAGTTTCCGTAATAATCGCGACATCAACGATGCTTTTTATTCAATTATTTTATATTGTTGTAAAACAGGCAGGATCTTTCCCCTTTAAGTTGAATAATTTTCACGCATTACGTATAATTTAAGTGATTTAACGCGCTTTGTATGCACAATTTTATATAATTTTTCATCAAGAAAAAGATAATTATCTTTTTCCAATATGAAATGCGAAGAAGTGAGTTATTTTTTGGTAAAATAATTTTGAAATCAAACAAATGATCTAAATATTGCGATTGTTACAGTTATGACATTAGTAATTCGTTAAATTAAAAATTAACACAACAAAATCATTAATGTTTCAGGTGAAAGTGTGGTTTCAAAACCGGAGGACAAAACACAAACGGATGCAACAGGAGGAAGAGGCTAAGGCTCAGCAACAATCGGGCGGCGGGGGCGGTAACGGCGGTGGCGGTGGTAATGGAAACGGCAATAACAACAGCAACAATAAGAACACGCATCACGTCAGCAAATGGCAGCAGGAGACCGGTGACTACCATCACGAGGAAGACGAGGAGGAGGAGCACATCGATCCGGAAGCCGAGGAGTGCTCGAGCGGCTCTGAAGCGTAGCTAGACGTTCTCTGCCTGGATTAGGTTCCAGGAATGCATGGAATATCCCGAGTGGAGCTCCGAAAGAGCCTCCGTTTGAGGTGGGACCTGTTTGAGAGATCGCGCGAGACCGACGCGACCGACTTAGACCGCGCGCGGTTCGGATTTTCTCGCGACATTGGCTGCGTATCGAGAAATTGACTTCGCCGTGCGCGAACGAGGCTATCGGTTCGCGACTGTGTTAATCTTCGAGAAGCATGGAAGACAAGTAGTAGTGAGTGAGAATTTCCACGAGTAAGTTCCATCGAAATCGCGGCGCGATCACGACAGAATCACGGCTGTCGTTTTAAGTGCGAATCCCGATGCAGAGGAGAAAAGAAACTGGCAGTCAAAAGTCTCGGCGAGAGCTGTGCTTCGATTGTAGACTGAAACTCTGAACCCTGAAGAGTTCTCTATTAGCAAAATCACCGGGAAGGATTTCGTTAAAAGTTCTGCTTCGAACTTGCCAGATTAGTCGACGGGATAAATACGTAATATAGAATCTCGCATCATCTATCTTTTTTTTTTGTAGAATTCACATATTTTATATATTTTTAAGCGTAAAAACATTAATCTTTGCGAAAAAAATGTCATTTATATCTTGGTTTTTTTATAATCGTGATTAAATGCAGTAATTTTACGCGTACATAAAATATGTGGATAAAAGAATTGGCGATGGGAGCCCTATATTGGATATTTACCGTCGATAGGCGATGCTAGGGGAGAGAAGGGAGTGTTTTTTTTTCTTCTTCTTTTTCTTTCGACGGGAATCACGACGTAGTTCCTCAACGGAGTTCGATCTCCGTTTCGCGGCGTTGCCGAAGGCCAGAGAACGATTGCGGAGATCCGTAAATATCCTCGTGATTAGGACGAGGCATTCTCTCAGGCCAGACTATCTTATAACGGGTCCGGAAAAAGCGACGGAGAAATCGAAGGCGTCCATCGGAAACCGGCTAATGGAGGCATTGTCTGCGAGAGACGACGAAGCTAAATGGACGCGCTTCCGGCGGAAAGCGGCGACGTTCAACGTATCGAGAACGACCAATGCTTACTTTGAGCGAATCATTTTTTTTGTCAACTAAAACTTTAGAATTTTTAAAAGTAAAATTAAACGACAAAAACTTGTTTTCAAGTTTGCTGTAAATTTTATTTAAAAATTATTTAAAATTTTATTTAAAAAAAAACTTTAATTCGCTTGTAAGTTATTCCCGATGATTTTAATTGTAAAATAATTGTTAAAAGTTTATTAGAAATATTTTAGAATGAGGATTGATCGTGAAATATTCTTGATTCGCTTGGACGATGCGCCGATTGCCACCGTCGCGTATCGTTTACACTTGCATTGCCATAAAAAATTCGCCATAAAGACTAACTGTCGTCCGATGGTGTAAATAAAATGTGTAAAATGCCGACGGACGAATTGCAATTCCGGATCCTTTTCGGGAGCATTTCTGACGACACGCTGGACGCGAATGTAAATAGATAATCGACGTGAATCACACAACAAGATGCACTGAGTGCGCGTGTATACGCGTTTATGTACGCAGGAACGTAAGTAAAATAGTGAGTGCCAAACTTCGTACCCTTAGCGAAAGATCCCAGTGTAAACGAGTTGTATTTGCAGTTGTATTTAAGTCGTTGTTCCGCGCGAGCGAGCAGTATTCCTTTCGTCGATCGATGTTTCGAGATATGTACTGACGATTTAAATTATTATTGCTAATATATGTTAGACCGGGATCTCGTGCGCCGTAACCGAGCCGTCATATTTGTAAAATATATATTATATCTTACGTTCCAACCCCTCGAGATCGTAATATTGATATATGGACGTATTCCCTCGATATTTTAATATTACTTTAGCAAACGTGGTATTAACATATCGTATTCTCCCGATATTTTAATATTACCGAGCAGCGCGCCGTGTTTGGCATGAGAGTATTATGATTTAATTCGATAAGTTTGCTTATCGAGTTCAGTTACATGAAAAGAACACTTGCTGAAATATCTAACAATTGTGCCAAATATAGATCTGAAAATAATTTTTGTTAGACAATTAAAATTCATCAACAGAGCACTCGAATTTTTTGCTGCAATATGACCTCATTTTATTTCATTCGTCAACCAGATCGAGTACTTCGATTGGTGCATGAAATCGATAAATTTTGATTGTCCAACAAAAATTATTTTCAAAATTATTTTCCGTATCTGGCACAATTTTTAGACATTTCAGCGAAAGTGTTCTTTCCGTGTAGAGAGTTTATTTCTGAAGCGCTGCGCGTTTAAGTTCCATGCGGCGACGCTTTTCCACTCGCTCAAGAATTCGCTCGATTGCGGCGCAGGGCTTTCGCTTGTAAATAATCTTGTACATAAAAAAGATTATAGAAACTAATAAGTAACGGATATCGAATGAAACAATTCGAGTTCTTTAGCGATATAGCTAAATAAATTATAATACTATATGAAAACGTTCCGCTTTTGTTTCGCCTGCTCCAGTGACCTGTAAATCCCAAAAAAAAAAAATTCTTTGCGCCAACTGTGCTACGAAAATCGAAAGCTTATCAGAAAATTGAAGGTACGTGATGTCATTTTTAATGTATAGGAAGAAAAACATGTGCAATGCGCGAAAGTACTGTTGAACACTGCATTATGGCGGCGCCGTTCCTAATAATCTCGAACGCAACGATGTTCGGAGATGGCGAATCTGATATCGCAAGCGCGAACTCGAGCTCGTAATTTCGAGGCAATAAAACACACACGCAGGCCCGGCCGGAGAAATTGTTTGTTTTCCACGCGCAGTAATTTCTCGCGTAGCGTATTATTTTGGAGGCAGCGCACGGGGGAATTGAATAATTCTCGCCATCGGGCACATCGACGATAAGGAGGACCCGCACCGTGGTAATTCTTAAGCATATGACATTATCGCAATGACCGACCGTAATTACCGATGTGCGGAAAAGGGGGGGTGAGGTGTCTACGAGCGGCAAATTGTTTTTCACGAAGGTATCGTTGGCAACACGATGCATCGATGACGACGACGACGGCGCAGAAAATCGCCCGGGTACATCCCGCCGCGTCTGCGGTAGCGATCCTTGTCGATAATCGCTTTATAATCGCCGCTTCCAAAAGGAATAATTTACTACGTCGGACGTGGAACTCTCTCTCTCTCTTTCTCTTTCTTTCTCTCATTCCCCCGTAATTAAACACGCCGGATCTCTCCTTTCGTGCCCGGAACAACGGATGTGCGGACGCGGCCGATGTCGGTAGATCGTATTCGGAGATTCGCTATCATCGGCCCTTATTATTTTCGCCGAAACGTTGCCCCCACGAGAAATGTTTACGGACGCTGAGAATGAAATACCGTCTTTTTTTCGAAACTGTCTGTCTTATTCACGAATTTTATTAATTTAAAGTGTTTTTTTTCTTAATGAAGGAAAAAGTATTGGGTTCTCAATATTTTACGGACAGATAAAAATCTGAGGAATTTTAAGAGATGGTTTTAGGATTTTTTTTTTCCACTCTCATGTATCTGCATTCCACAATGTTGATGGTGTTGCAAAGCAGGATTCGTAATTTACACGATGAAAATTGATGGCACGGTGGTAACGCGACTTGTAGGCGATTATCGATGTATTAATCAGTTCAAGCTAATGAATTTGTAAATTGAAAGTATCCGCAATTATAAACGGTTTGCAAACCTGTAGAATGAAATAAGATTTCATAAGGAAGAGAGAGAGAGAGAGAGAGAGAGAGAAAGAGAGAGAGAAATACATAAATTATACAACAAACAACGATATAAAACAAAGTTGGGCGAATTTTTAGAGATGTAATTAATGCAATTAATTTCAGTTTTTTAATTTCCGCTATTAAGGGATTGTTAATTAAGTTTTAACTTTTTCATTAAAAAAGATATTAAGGACAGGTTGTGTGAGTAAATTCTGCTATCGGATATGTCCTTAATGCAATTATTTAATAAGTATCTTCACGCTGCGAACGAATAAGCGCAGTTACAAATATCTCTTCATGTCATCTCGATATTAAATATTTAATGAAGTTTTAACGAAGTACGTCGCGCTAATTCATCCCTAACGTATTCATTAAAAATTTTTTTGCAAATCCTTGTATTCTCACGGTATATTAATCATTAATTGTCTCATTGCGTATTCGATGCGGACTCACTCGTCGGACCGAAAAGAAATTGACGATCGTCAAGATTACCCGACCCATTTCCACGTCGCGCTCGCGGTGCGCTTATTGATCGATCAATTAAGCGGCCAAATTAATCAGCATGTGCGGCAATCGCCGCGCGGCTACGAGGAATCGGACGCCGGGTGCTAATGAAGCGCATTAATTGGAATGTTGACCGGGACTCGTTAATTAAACGGCTCAGCCAAGCAACCGTCGTCAAAGCGACACGCCGTGCGATCGATCGGTCGTACGACGATCGATAATTAATAGATCTCATTGTTCCGCGTCGGTGCGCGTTCCGCTTCTTCTTATTCCCCCCACGTCGTTTTCCCGGATGATTCAGCTTCATTATCACGGGCGCGCCGCGCTCTCGTAATCGCTTATCCGCCAATTAACATGCGACAGCGCACCGCTTACCTCGCGCCGCGAAAGCGATTTTTCGACGTACTCGTTAAACGCAAATTTACGACGCATATATCGATCGCGACTATAAGTGTCGCTCTCGCGATATTACATGTGTTCTAAAACACATGCTTGAGAGGGAGAGATGGAGGGAGGGTAGGGGGACTTGCGCGAGGGAACTTTACTACAGGCGAAAGGCGATATCTGCGCGGGAAACCTGATCGGGCGCAATATGATTATGTCGGATTGATAATAAAGTTAATTCCGCAAATATATACGAAATTATTCCGCTGTCTTTGGCGCTCGAGACGATGTTAATTGCGCTGGAACGTTGTTGCGATAATGGCGTGGTTAAAAATTATCGAGCGAACTATCGCGAGCCCCCTCCGATGTAGGCCTTATCGTATTTCGCGTGCCGGTAAATGAGTTAAAATAATACGTTTCATTAAGTCCCGCGGGATTAGTTTCACTGTTACGAGCGTACCGGCAGATAAGCGGGCTGGATTACACGCGCAGGGCGCAAGTGCATGAGGAGGATATGCCGCATTCTTGCGGGAGTTGAGTTGTTTGCATGCGCAAATTATTGTTTACCGCGGAGTCACGCGTCAATTTAGCGCCGCCGTGAGTTTCAGCGAGAGTTTCTCCTTGAATGCAGGTGTTATACGTGCAATATCCAGTTACCACATATTCTACGATCGACTATTGAAAAACACAGACGGTGCAATCTAAAATAGAATACATTGACTTATCTTTCCTTTTTTTTTTATTTATAACCCTTCCGCTTACTTTTTTTTAACAGGTTAATCAAAAATATTGCGCGTTTACGCTAAACTTGATTATCATTTCACGAAGATACGTTTCGCATGAATTTTCTTCGAGACTGATAAGTTCCACGAGTCTCACGATCTAGCGTATCTACGAGGTCGCAATTGATCCCTCGTTTGCCTCTCTGACGGGGTAACGCCTACGCCAATGTGCGAGGGGTAAAACAGAGACGTGTCGGTTTGTTGGGTGAAGAGCACACTACATAAGGCCCGCGGCCAAGCGAGGGAGGGGAGTCAAGGGGGAGACAGACAGCAGCGGTGGAGGCGGAGGCGGCGGGAGCGAGGGGGGAAACCAGGAGGATCAGATGGGGTGGGGGGACGTCCGAGGGTTCAGAACTGCTAATTATGTAAATTGCCGGTGTTGCAAATTACCCTCACAGTTTGCGTTCATTCTGCACACAATCCACACGGTCTCCGCACACCTCGCACGGAATCCATCCACTTGGATACTGTTACTTCCTCCGGCGAAGCGAAGGGGGGAGGAGGCGAGGGAAGATGGCGGCGGATAGAGCGAGATGGATGATCTCCCCGAGGACGGAGCGAGGGGCCTCTCGTTCGAGGTGCCTCCTTCTTACCTCTCATTCATCATCACCGGTACTCGACGATGCGCGGATACCAGTATCCGCTAACAAATACTGATGTCGGACAGCTCGCAGCGAGCGATCGCGAACGTTTTCATCTCGAGTGTCGCGGACTGGAAATGCAAGCCGTTTAACGTAAAACGAGGTAAAATTTAACGGATTAATCAAATCGGATACCTACATTTTTGCGAAAAGAACGTTTTTTTTTTTTGCTAACAATTAACATTGATTTCCCACAAATCAAATATTTTGAATAATTAACTTGTTATTAATTATAATCGAAACTTTATTTTTCGAAACGCTAAGTGAAGAAATAAAATTCAATCAATTTTTAGGAAACTTGGTGTTAAAAAATATTTATTTTATGCGTGTTTCGCTGATTTAACTGTTACTGAACTCTGTTTTTTTAATTCTGTTCCGCGTAAAGTCAATAATGTAAAGCTTATTTGCATATTACAAAGAGGCAAACGAAAAATACGACCATTACAAAAGATATTTTTAGCACTTATAGCGTTTTGAGTTTCCAGCCCGCAATTTGTCTTGTCAATCGTAAACGGCGGATAACGAGACTGATTCGCGATGCGTGCTGCAATGTGGCGACTGTCAAAATCGGACGTTTTCGTCGGGCCAGATGTGTAAAATGCATGCAAATTTGTATTGCGAAACGAGAGAAAGGTGAGAGGGGAGAGAGAGAAAAAGAGAGATGAAAAATAAATTGAAGCAAAGGAGCAGGAAGAGGCGCCAGCGCAGCTCGCCAAGGGAAGAAGCCGGGGTACCTTTCGCGGCCTGCTTCCTTCATGCTTGCCTCATCGAAAAACCGGTACTCAACGAGAGGCACGGATACGCAGTTGAACGTGAAAGGACAGCCGTCGGAAAAGTTAGCGGAATGGCCGTTTTCATTTACGCGAGTCGCAGATGACACCAATTGGGTTGAACAGGACGTGACGCCGGCACGTATCGACGATACAAGTGCAGGCTGCAATCGCGTGACGGCAACGAGTTTCCTCGTTCGCAGGTGACGCCAAGTTAGTTGCATATCACGAAGAACGGATAGCGTTTGGATGTACTTGGACTGAATATGACGATATGAAGGATGCATGCGAAGAGTATATCATTCGAAATAATTGTAGTATGCGATCTGAATACTCTTAATGATCTGAATAAATCACAGTCCGATGCAGACGGCATAATTAGCTGTAATTAACGTCAATAAGCGCGTTAACAAGATACTCATTGCGCGATAGCGGCGTGCCGTAGCATTGTTGGAAGGAGAGCGAACTGACACGTAGTATACTCCGCGTAGCGTAACACCGCGGTGAGAATTTATAGTCGCGGCCGATGTGGGGTGATCCGGACTAAACTGTGAAGATAAGGTCGCAATTAATTACAATTAAGTCTGAGTTGTATTTAGCTGTGCGAGAGGAGGGAATATCCAGAATATGGACGGACGCATTGTCATTCAAATTC